TGACCGGGGCGTCCTCCCTGACCGGGGTGTCCTGACTGGGGCGTCTTCCCTGACCGGGGCGTCCCCCCTGACCGGGGCATCCTCCCTGACCGGGGTGTCCTCCCTGACCGGGGTGTCCTGACTGGGGCGTCCTCTCTGACTGGGGTGTCCTCCCTGACCGGGGCATCTTCCCTGACCGAGGCGTCTTCCCTGACCGGGGCGTCCTCTCTGACCGGGGTGTCCTCCCTGACCGGGGTGTCCTTTCTAACCGGGGCGTCCTCCCTGACCGGGGCGTCTTCCCTGACCGAGGTGCCCTCCCTGACCGCGGCATCCTCCCTGACCAGGGCGTCCTCTCTGACGGGGGTGTCCTCTCTGACCGGGGTGTCCTCCCTGACCGAGGTGTCCTCCCTGACCGGGGTGTCCTCCCTGACCGGGGTGTCCTGACTGGGGCATCCTCCCTGACCGGGGCATCCTCCCTGACCGGGGCGTCTTCCCTGACCGGGGCGTCCTCCCTGACCGGGGCGTCTTCCCTGACCGGGGCGTCCTCCCTGACCCGGGCGTCTTCCCTGACCGGGGTGTCCTCCCTGACCGGGGCGTCCTCCCTGACTGGGGCGTCCTCCCTGACCGGGGTGTCCTCCCTGACCGGGGTGTCCTCCCTGACAGGAGCGTCCTCCCTGACCGGGGTGTCCTCTCTGACGGGGGTGTCCTCTCTGACCGGGGTGTCCTCTCTGACCGGGGTGTCCTCCCTGACCGAGGTGTCCTCCCTGACCGGGGTGTCCTCCCTGACCGGGGTGTCCTCTCTGACCGGGGCGTCCTCCTGACTGGGGCGTCCTCTCTGACCGGGGCGACCTCCCTGACCGGGGCGTCCTCCCTGACGGGGGCCTTGCTGGTTAAGCTTAGAGGGGGACATGTGGCGCTGAGGAGAAACATGGGCCCAGGTCTGGTTATGAGTGGGAGCTGCTTGTGTCTTCAGTATCTGCCACCAGCAAAAGCCCTTAAATCTGATTAAAAAGCTGAATGACACGAGCTCCGGTGGCTAATCCTCTGTGGCCTGGCAACAGTTCTCCTTGCTTCAGGGGCCAGGGTGTCTTTAATAGGAGGCTTGTTCTCTGTTAAGTCTTCATTTCTAACTCAGACTGAATCCTCATAGGTGAGCTGACTTCTCAAAAGAAAGAAAAGGGCTGGGCGCAGGCTCACACCTATAATCCCAGCACTTTGGGAGGCCGAAGAGGAAGGATCACCTGAGGTCAGGAGTTTGAGACCAGCCTAGCCAACATGGCAAAACCCCGTCTCTACTAAAAATATTAAAAAAATTAGCCAGGCATGGTGGCATGCACCTGTAGTCCTAGCTACTCGGAAGGCTGAGGCAGGAGAATTGCTTTAACCCAGGAGGTGGAAGTTGCAGTGAGCCAAGATGGTGCCATTGCACTCCAGCCTGGGTGACAGAGTGAGACCCTGTCTCAAAAACAAAAACAAAAAAAGACAATAAAACCGGTTGCAGAATGGAGAAAATTGAGTCAACATTCAAAACTTTTATGATTTCACCTTAGAAATTTAGATTTCTAGTATCGCTTGAGAATTCAGACACTGGTGAAATGGAGCCTCCAATCTGAGTTGGCCCTGATGGGGCAGAGTGGTGCTGAGGGTTCCAGTCCTTCCTACCCCACAGTGTCTTTTTGACTCTAGAGTTGACCAGCTTTATTTATGGTCTATCTCACCACTCTTCTAATAGAGAAATGTTTCTCTCGAGTCATGTCTCCACCCAAAAGTGAAGAAAACAGAAAGGGAGGGAGCCTGTGTTTCCAAGATAATTCACAAACAGCACATTGTTTTATGAGATGGAAGAAAAT